TTTGGGGGAAATCTGGGTAGGTGGGGGAAATTTGGGGGCAAAATTGGGGGATTTTGGGGAGGATTTGGGGGAAATTTGGGGGTTGGATGGGAAATTTGGGGGTTTTGGAGGCAAAATTTGGGGGGTTGGGGGGAATTCGGGGAGTTTGAGGAGATTTGGGGAAGAAATTTGGGGGATTTGGGGTTAAAATTTTGGGGAAATTTGGGGGGGTTTGAGGACAAAATTGGGGGGTTTAGGGGGAACTTTGGGGGATTTTGGGGGCAAAATTTGTGGGGGTTTTGGGGGAGTTTGGGAAGGAAATTGGGGGAATTTGAGGGGGATTTGGGGGATTTGAGGGCAAGATTTGGGGGACTTGAGGGGATTTGTGGGGACATTTGTGGGGGATTTGGGGGGAAATTGGGAGGGTTTTGGGGGGAATTTGAGGGGAAATTTGGGGGTTTGGGGTAAAATTTGGGGGATTTGGGGGAAAAATTGGGGGAGTTTAGGGGAAATTTGGGGATTTTAAGGAAATCTGGGGGGATTTGGGGGATTTGGAAGAGCTTGGGGGATTTAGGGAAAATTTGGGGAGATTTGGGGAGGGAAATTTAGGGGGTTTTGGGGGGGAAAATTTGGGGGGTTTTGGGGGAAAACTGCGGGTATTTGGGGGAAATTTGGGGAGTTTGGGGGGATTTGAGGACAAACTTGGGGGATTTGGGGGATTTGGGGAAAATTTGGGGGGAATTTGGGGGATTTGAGGGAGATTTTGGGGAAATTTGGGTTGTTTTGGGTTCAAAATTTGGGGGTTTTGAGAACAAAATTGGGGGAGATTTGGGGGAATTTGAGGGAAATTTGGGAATTTTGGGGAGGTTTTGGGGAGGATTTGGGTAAATTTGGGGAGTATGGGGAAATTTTGGGGGAAAATTTGGGGGAAAATTTGGGAGGGTTTGGGGGAAATTGGGGAGTTTGGGGGTAAAATTTGAGGGGAAATTTGAGGGGCTTGGGGGAGAAATTGGGGGAAATTTGGGGGATTTGGGGGAAATTTGGGTTGTTTGGGTGCAAAATTTGGGGATTTGGGGAGGATTTGGGAGGAAATTTGGGGGTTGGGGCAAAATTTGGGGGTTTTGGGGGAAATTTGGGGGGGAAATTTGGGGAACTTTTGGATAAATTTTTGGGGATGAACTTTTGGGGATTTGGGGATAAATTTGGGGGTAAAATTTTGGGCATAAATTTTGGGGAATGTTTGGATAAATTTTTGGGGATTAACTTGGGGATATTTGGGGGTAAATTTTGGGGAATTTTGGATAAATTTTGGGGGACAAACTTGGAGATTTTGGGGGTAAACTTGGGGATTTTTTTGGATAAATTTTTGGGGATGAATTGGGGGAATTTTGATGTAAAACTTGGGGACAAACTTCGGGAATTTTGGAATAAATTTGGGGTGTAAATTGGGGGAATTTTTGGATAATTTTTAGGGATAAAATTCAGGAATTTTGGGGTAAATTTGGGGAATTTTTAGATAAAATTTTTGGGGATGAATTTTAGGAATTTTGAGAAAAACTTTGGGGAATTTTTGCATAAATTTTTGAGGATGAATTTCAGGAATTTTGGGGTAAATTTGGGGGAATTTTTGGATAATTTCTTGGGGAAAAAATTCAGGAATTTGGGAGTAAATCGGGGTAAATTTTTGGATAATTTTTTAGGGATAAAATTCAGGAATTTTGGGGTAAAATCTGGGGGTAAATTTTGTGAATTTTGGATAAATTTTTAGGGGTAAAATCCCTGAATTTTGGGTTAAATTTCCTATTTAAAAAAACCCAAACCAAAACTAATTTTTTTTTTAATAAATTTCTTTTAATAATTTTTTTTTCTTTTTTTTTTGGGGCCCCGGGTCTTTTTTTTTTTTTTTTAAATTCCCCTCCCCCACCCCTCCAAAAAAAAATCATCACCCCCTCAAAAAACCCTCCCCCTCCCCACCCTTCCCTCCCCCTTTATTTTTCCTGCCCTCCCCACCCAGGCCCCTCCCCTCTTTTTTTTTCTCCTCCCCCTTTTTTTTTTTTAAATCCCAAAAATCCAACTTTTTTATCCAAAACAACCAAAAAAAAAAATCTCAAAATTTTCGGCTCCACCACCTGAAAAAACAAACTCGGAATTTTGGGGGAGGAGGGGAGAAAAGAGAGGGGGAGGGGCTAAAGAAGGGGAGGGGCCTTTTGGGGGAGGGAGAGGGGCCCCTTTTCCCTCCCCCTCCTTAAAATTTGATTTTTGGGTTTTTTGGGGCATTTTTGTATTTTTGGGCTTTTTTGTGTGTTTTTTTGTATTTTTGGGTGGTTTTGGTGTTTTTGGGTGTTTTTGATGGTTTTTTTTTTGGGGGTGGGGAGAGGGCTGGGGGTTTGTGGGGTGGGGAGGGGCGATAAAGGGGGTTTGGGGGTGGGGAGGGGCGGATCAATACGGGGAGTACCAGGAGGTGGCTCGGGATCGACCCCTTTGGGGGAGGGGCCAAAAAGGGGGTGGGGAGGGGTCAGAAGGTGGGGAGGGGTCAATGGGTGGGGGAGGGGTCAATGGGTGGGGAGGGGAAGAGAGAGAAAAAAACAAGGCAGAAATTTGAAATCTCGGTTGTTTTTGACCCCAAAATTCCCCCCCAAATCACCCCAAAAATCACCCAAATTCACCCCAAAAACACCACAAAAATCACCCAAATTCACCCCAAAAACCACTCAAATTCACCCCAAAAACCACCCAAATTAACCCCAAAAACACCCAAATTCACCCCAAAAACCACCCAAATTCACCCCAAAAACCACCCAAAAACCACCCAAATTCACCCCAAACCCACCCAAATTCACCCCAAAAATAACCCCAATTCACCCCCAAAAAAACCCTAAAACCACCCAAATTCACCCCAAAACCAACCCAAATTCACCCCAAAACCCACCCAAATTCAGCCCAAAAACCACCCAAAAATGACCCCAATTCACCCCAAAAACCACCCCAAATTCACCCCAAAAACCACCCAAATTCATCCCAAAAACCACCCAAATTCATCCCAAAAACCACCCCAAAAACACCCCTAAAACCACCCAAATTCACCCCAAAAACAACCCTAAAAGCACCCCAAAAACCACCCAAATCACCCCAAAACCCACCCAAATTCACCCCAAAAACCACCCCAAATTCACCCCAAAACCCACCCAAATTCATCCCAAAAACCACCCAAATTCACCCCAAAAACCACCCAAATTCACCCAAAACCCCCAAATTCACCCCAAAAACTCCATAAACCACCCCAAAAACTCCATAACCCCAAAACCCCCAAATTTGACCCATAAAAGCCCAAATTTCACCCCCAAAAAGGCCAAATTTTCTCACCTCTCTCCCCTCCCGAAGCTGCCGCAGGAGCCGAATCCGACCCCAAAAACCACCCCAAAATCACCCAAATTGGACCCAAAACCCCTCAAAATGACCCCAAAACCCCAAAACGACCCAAAATGAACCAAAAAAGCCCAAAATGACCCAAAATCCCCTCACGCGGGGTCGGTCGAAGCCGCCACAGGAGCCGAATCCGACCCCAAAACCACCCCAAAAACCCCCGAAATTCACCCCAAAACAACCCCAAATTCATGCCAAAACCCCTCAAACTGAACCCAAAACCTCTCAAACTGGACTCAAAACCCTAAACGACCCCAAAACCCCAAAATGACCCAAAAAAACCCAAATATGGCCCAAAATGACCCAAAATCCCCTCATGGGGGGTCGTCTGAAGCTGCCGCAGGAGCCGAATCCGACCCCAAAAACCACCCCAAAAACACCCAAAAAACCACTGGAATTGGACCCAAAACCCCTCAAACTGAACCCAAACAACCCCAAACCTCGAAATGCCCCAAAAAGCCTGAATTTAACCCCAAAATGTCACCTGTATCCCCTGCCGCGGGGTCGGCTGAAGCCGCTGTAGAAGCGGGAGCGGCCAAATCCGACCCCAAAACCACCCCAAAATCACCCAAATTGGACCCAAAACCCCTCAAACTGAACCCAAAACCCCTCAAAATGGACCCAAAGCCCTAAAATGACACAAAAAACACCCGAATTTGACCCAAAATGACCCAAAATCCCCTCACGTGGGGTCGGTCAAAGCCGCTGCAGGAGCCGAATCCGACCCCAAAAACCACCCCAAAAACCCCCCAAATTGGACCCAAAACCCCTCAAACTGAACCCAAAACCCCTCAAACTGAACCCAAACAACCCCAAACCTCAAAATGCCCCAAAAAGCCTGGATTTAAGCCCAAATTTTCTCACCTGTATCCCCTGCCGCGGGGTCGGCTGAAGCCGCTGTAGAAGCGGGAGCGGCCAAATCCAACCCCAAAACCACCCCAGAAACACCCAAAAAACCCCCCAAATTCACCCCAAAACAACCCTAAAAAAACCCAAAAGGACCCAAAACCCCAAAATAACCCAAAATGACTCAAAAAAGCCCAAATTTTCTCACCTGTATCCCCTGCCGCGGGGTCGGCTGAAGCCGCTGTAGAAGCGGGAGCGGCCAAATCCGACCCCAAAACCACCCAAAAAACCCCCAAATTGGACCCAAAACCCCTCAAACTGAACCCAAAACCCCTCAAAATGGACCCAAAGCCCTAAAATGACACAAAAAACACCCAAATATGGCCCAAAATGACCCAAAATCCCCTCACGTATCTCCCCTCCCACAGGGTCAGCTGAGGGTGGAGGAGCCGAATCCGACCCCAAAACCACCCCAAAAACACCCAAAAAAAGCCTGAAATTCACCCCAAAACCACCCCAAAGGACCCAAAACCCCAAAACGACCCAAAATGCCCCAAAAAAGCCCAAATTTTCTCACCTGTATCCCCTGCCGCGGGGTCGGCTGAAGCCGCTGTAGAAGCGGGAGCGGCCAAATCCGACCCCAAAACCACCCCAAAAACCCCCGGAATTGGACCCAAAACCCCTCAAACTGAACCCAAAACCCCTCAAAATGACCCCAAAACCCCAAAATGACCCAAAAAAACCCAAATATGGCCCAAAATGATCCAAAATCCCCTCATGGGAGGTCGTCTGAAGCTGCCGCAGGAGCCGATTCCGACCCCAAAAACCACCCCAAAAACACCCAAAAAACCACTGGAATTGGACCCAAAACCCCTCAAAATGACCCCAAATCAACCCCAAACAACCCAAATACCAAAATGCCCCAAAAAGCCTGGATTTGAGCCCAAATTTTCTCACCTGTATCCCCTGCCGCGGGGTCGGCTGAAGCCGCTGTAGAAGCGGGAGCGGCCAAATCCGACCCCAAAACCACCCCAGAAACACCCAAAAAAAGCCTGAAATTCACCCCAAAACCACCCCAAAGGACCCAAAACCTCGAAATGCCCCAAAAATCCCGGATTTAACCCCAAAATCCCACCTGTATCCCCTGCCGCGGGGTCGGCTGAAGCCGCTGTAGAAGCGGGAGCGAGCGGAGCCGAAGCCGCCCCCGCCCCGGCCCCGGAAGCGGCCCCGCGGGAAGCCCCGGTCGGTGCTGCTGATCCCGGGGCGGTTCGTCCGCTTCGGGATCACCTGGAGGTAGGAAAATGAGGAAAAATGGGAATTCCGGAAGGTTTGGGGGGAGTTTGGGCGAAAATCGGTGAAATTTGGGCGAAAAACGGGCGAAAAATGGGCGGGAAATGGCGGAAAGTGGAGGGGGTTGAAGGAGAAAAATCAGGGAATTCTGAGGGAAAAATGTGGGAATTTGGGGAAAAATAGGAAGATCTGAGTGGGATTTGGGGGAAAATGTGGAATTTGGGGGAAAAATGACGGAATTTTGGCAAAAATTGGTGAAAATCGGGCGAAAATTGGGTTTGTAATCGGGCGGGAAATGGTGGACTTGGAGGGGGTTTGGGGGGGAAATCAGGGAATTCTGAGGGGAAAATGTGGGAACTTGGGAGAATTTTTGGGAAAAATGAGGAAATTCAGGGGGAATTTGGTGGGTAACATGCAAATTTGGGAAGGAAATGCAAGAATTTCAGAGAAAAGTCAGTGAAATTTGGGTGAAAATAGGGCAGGAATCAGATGGAAAATGGCACATTATGAGGGGGTTTGGGGGGGAAATCAGGGAATTCTGAGGGGAAAATGTGGGAATTTGTGCGAAAAATAGAGAGATCTGAGTGGAACTTAGGGAGAAATGTGGGCATTTGTGGGAAAAATGGCAAAATTTCAGCGAAAATTGCTGAAATTCGGGCGAAAATTGTGTTTGCAATCGGGCAGAAAATGGCGGATTGGGAGGGGGTTTGGGAGGGAAATTGAAGAATTCTGAGGGAGAAATGTGGGAATTTGGGGGAAGAATGAGGAAATTTAGGGGGAATTGGGTGGGCAATGTGGGAATTTGGATGGAAAATGTGGAAATTGGGGAAAAATCGGGCGAAATTTGGGAAAAAAACGGGGGAAAAACAGAGGGAAAATGGTGGATTTAGAGAGGGTCTGAAAGGGGGTTTGAAGGGGAAAATGAGGGAATTCTGAGGGAAAAATGTGGGAATTTCTGGGAGTTTGTGAGAAAAATGAGGAAAACTAGGTGGAATTTGGTGGGAAATGTGGGAATTTGGGGGAAAATGTGGGAATTCGGGAAAAAATGGGAAAATCGGGACAAAAATTGCGCAGAAAATGTGGGATTTAGAGGGAACTGGGAGGGATTTTGGAGGAAATTGGGAATTCTGAGGGAAAGTGGAAGGAATTTGGGTGAAAATCAGGGAAATTTGGGGTGAAATTGAGGGATTTGAATGGAGACGAGGAAATTTGAGAGGGGAAATGGGGTAAAATTAGGGTGAAAATCTGGAAAAATTTGCCAAAAATTTGGAAAAAATCACTAAAAAACAAGGAAAAAAACCCCTGAAAAAAATCTTAAAAATTTGGGGAAAATTCCAGGGAAATTTTGGGAGAATTTTGGGGGATTTGGGTTTTTTTTTTTACCTTGATTTGCCTCCCCCTGAAGAGCGACTCGTCGAGGGCCATCGACGTCCGCACCGACTCCTTGTCCGAGAACTCGATGTAGGCGAAGCTGTTTTGGGGCGAAAAAAGCCAAAATCAGGCAAAAAGCACCAAAAACGGGGTCTGAAGGCCCCAAAAATGGGTTTGGGAGGAGAAAAAATGGGGGTTGAGGGGGAAAAATGGGGTTTTGAGGGGAAAAATGGGATTTTGAGGGGAAAAAATGGGGTTAAAAGGGGGAAAGTGGCGTGGTTTGATGAAAATTTGGGAAATGGGCAAAAAAAATTGGGAAAAATGAACAAAAATTGGGGAAAATTGAGAGGAAAATGAGGTGGAATTTGAGGTAAATTTGAGGAAAATTTGGGGTAAAAACGGAGGAAAAATTTTGGGAAATTTGAGAGAAAAATGAGGGGAACTTTGGGAAAAATTGGGGGGAAAAAGGGGGAAAAATTTGGGGGAATTTGAGAGAAAAATGAGGTGGAACTTTGGGGGGAAATTGGGGAAAATTGTGGGGAAAAACAGAGTAAAAATTGAGGGCAAAATGAGGGGAAATTTGGGGGGAAATTGGGGAAAATTGTGAGGAAAAAGGGGGTAAAAATGGGAAAATTTGAGACAAAAAGAAAGTGAAATTTGGGGGGAAATTGGGGAAAATTGTGGGGAAAAACAGAGTAAAAATTGAGGGGAAAATGAGGGAAATTGGGGGAAAAAAAGGGGGAAGTTTGGGGGGAAATTGGGAAAAAAATGAGTAAAATTTGGGGAAATGTGACAGAAAAATGAGAGGAAATTTGGGAATAAATTGGGTAAAATTTGGGAAAAAAGGGTGGAAATTTAGGAAGAAATGGGGAGAAATCTGGGGGAAATTTGGGGAAAAAAAGTAAAATTTGGGAAAATTTGAGAGAAAAATGAGATTAAATTTGGGAACGTATTTGGTACAATTTCGAAAAAAATGAGCAAAATTCAGGAGACAAACAAGGAAAAATGAGGCAAAATTTGGGGCAAAATTGGGCAAAATTTGGAGTAAAATTTGGGATAAAACTGGGCAGAATTTTAGGAAAAATGGGGTGAAATTTGGGATAAAATTGGGCAAAATTTGAGGAAAAAATGGAGTAAAATTTGGGATAATATTGGGCAAAATTTGAGGAAAAACAAGATAAAATTCAGGATAAAATAGGTTAAAATTTGGGATAAATGGAGTAAAATTTGGGATAAAAGTGGGCAGAATTTGAGGAAAAACAGGGTAAAATTTGAGGTAAAATTGGGAAAAATTGGAGGTAAAACAGGGTAAAATTTGGGATAAAATTAAGTAAAGTTTGAGGAAAAATGAGATAAAATTCGGGATAAAATGGGTTAAAATTTGGGATAAAATGGGTTAAAATTTGGGTTAAAATTGGGCAAAATTTGGGAAAAACGGAGTAAAATTTGGGATAAAATTGGGTAAAATCTGAGGAAAAACAGGGTAAAATTTGGGGTAAAATTAGGTAAAATTTGAGGAAAAATGAGGTAAAATTTGGGGTAAAATAGGGCAAAATTTGAGGAAAAACAGGGTAAAATTTAGGATAAAACTGGACAAAATTGGAAGAAAAACAGGATAAAATTGGGCAAAATTGGAAGAAAAATGGAGTAAAATTTGGGATAAAATTGGATAAAATTTGAGGAAAAAATGGAGTAAAATTTGGGATAAAAGGGGATAAAATTTGGGGTAAAACTGGACAAAATTTGAGGAAAAACAAGATAAAATTTGGTATAAAATGGGTTAAAATTTGGGATAAATGGAGTAAAATTTGGGATAAAAGTGGGCAGAATTTGAGGAAAAACGGGGTAAAATTTGGGATAAAACTGGACAAAATTGGAAGAAAAACGGGGTAAAATTTGGGATAAAATGGATTAAAATTTGGGACAAAATGGGATAAAATTTGGGGTAAAATTGGGAAAAATTGGAAGAAAAATGGAGTACAATTTGGGATAAAATTGGGTAAAATTTGAGGAAAAAATGGAGTAAAATTTGGGAAAAAATTGGGCAAAATTTGAATAAAAACAGAGTAAAATTTGAGGTAAAATTGGGAAAAATTGGAGGTAAAACAGAGTAAAATTTAGGGTAAAATGCAGAAAAATTGGAGGTTAAACAGGGTAAAATTTGGGATAAAATGGGCTAAAATTTGGGATAAAAGGGGATAAAATTTGGGGTAAAACTAGGACAAAATTTGAGGAAAAACAGGATGAAATTAGGATAAAATGGGTTAAAATTTGGGAAAAATGGAGTAAAATTTGGGATAAAACTGGGTAGAATTTGAGGAAAAACGGGGTAAAATTTGGGATAAAACTGGACAAAATTGGAAGAAAAGAGGGTAAAATTGGGATAAAATGGATTAAAATTTGGGACAAGGGGATAAAATTTGGGGTAAAATTGGGAAAATTGGAAGAAAATGAGTACAATTTGGGATAAAATTAGGTAAAATTTGAGGAAAAAATGGAGTAAAATTTGGGAAAAAATTGAGGCAAAATTTGAATAAAACAGAGTAAAATTTGAGGTAAAATTGGGAAAAATTGGAGGTAAAACAGAGTAAAATTTAGGGTAAAATGCAGAAAAATTGGAGGTAAAACAGGGTAAAATTTGGGATAAAATGGGCTAAAATTTGGGATAAAAGGGGATAAAATTTGGGGTAAAATTAGGTAAAATTTGAGGAAAAACGGGGTAAAATTCGGGATAAAATGGGTTAAAATTTGGGATAAATGGAATAAAATTTGAGATAAAACTGGGCAAAATTGGAAGAAAAACGGGGTAAAATTCGGGATAAAATGGGTTAAAATTTGGGATAAATGGAATAAAATTTGAGATAAAACTGGGCAAAATTTGAGGAAAAATGAGGTAAAATTTGGGATAAAATTGGGCAAAATTTGAGGAAAAATGAGGTAAAATTTGGAATAAAATTGGGAAAAATTGGAGGTAAAACGGTAAAATTCGGGATAAAATGGGTAAAAATTCAGGATAAAATGGGTTAAAATTTGGGATAAAATTAGGGAAAAAAAGGGGACAAAAATTGTGTGAAAAAGGAGCCGAATTTGGGGCAATTTGAGCCGACTTTGGGTCAAAAAGTGGGGTGGTGCCCCCCTTACCCCTTGGGGTGGCCGCTGTACTTGTCACACAGGATGGTGACGCGATTGACGGAGCCGCAGCCGTGGAAATGAGCCTCCAGCTCCTCCGCCGTCGCCCCATAATCCACCTGCAATTTACACTCAATTTACACCCAAAATACACCCAATTTACCACCAAAACACACCCTCAAACTGACCCTAAAATTTAACCCCAAAATTTGCCCTAAATTTATCCCTAAATGAGCCTCCAGTTCCTCCGCCGTCGCCCCGTAATCCACCTGCAATTTACACCCCATTTACACCCATTTACACCCCATTTACCAACAAAATACACCCTCAATTTGACCCTAAAATTTAACCCCAAAATTTGCCCTAAATTTATCCCTAAATGAGCCTCCAGCTCCTCCGCCGTCGCCCCGTAATCCACCTGCAATTTACACCCCATTTACACCCATTTACACCCAATTTACCAACAAAATTTACACTCAATTTGACCCTAAAATTTAACCCCCAAATTTGCCCTAAATTTATCCCTAAATGAGCCTCCAGCTCCTCCGCCGTCGCCCCGTAATCCACCTGCAATTTACACCCCATTTACACCCATTTACACCCAATTTACCAACAAAATTTACACTCAATTTGACCCTAAAATTTAACCCCAAAATTTGCCCTAAATTTATCCCTAAATGAGCCTCCAGCTCCTCCGCCGTCGCCCCGTAATCCACCTGCAATTTACACCCCATTTACACCCCATTTACACCCAAAATACACCCTCAATTTGACCCTAAAATTTAACCCCAAAATCTGCCCTAAATTTATCCCTAAATGAGCCTCCAGCTCCTCCGCCGTCGCCCCGTAATCCACCTGCAATTTACACCCCATTTACACCCCATTTACACCCAAAATTTACCCTCAATTTGACCCTAAAGGTTACTATGGTCGGTCTAAAATTTACCCTGAAATTGTCTCAAAATTTAAACCCAAATTGACCCAAATCCGCCCCAAATTCCCCTAAAATTTAACCCAAATTTGCCCTCAATTTACCCCAAATTAACCCCAATTTACCCCAAAATTTTACCCCAAACTGACCCAGAAATAGCCCCAAATCCCTCTAAAATTTCTCCCAAAATTCTCTCAAAATTTAACCCCAAATTTACCCCAAAATTGACCCAAATCCACCCCAAATTCCCCTAAAATTTAACCAATTTGCCCTCAATTTACCCCAAAATTTACCCTCAAATTGACCCAAGAGTTTCCCCCACTCTGTCTAAAATTTACCCCAAAATTTCCTCCTAAATTGACCCAAATCCACCCCAAATTCGGCCCCGAATTCCCCTAAAATTTAACCCCAAATTGCCTCAATTTACCCCGAAATTTACCCAAAATTGACCCAAAAATAGCCCCAAATCCCTCTAAAATTTCTCCCAAAATTCAACCCCAAATTTACCCAAAATTGACCCAAATCTACCCCAAATTAACCCTCAAAATTCCCCTAAAATTTAACCCCAAATTGCCTCAATTTACCCCAAAATTTAACCAAAAATTGAGCTAAAAATTTTCCCCAAATACACCCATAATTTGCCCCAGAATTCCTCTAAAATTTGCCTAAAATTTACCCCAAATTTACCCAAAACTGACCCAAAGGTTTTCCTAAACCCACCTGAAATTTACCCCAAAATTCCCCTAAAATTTGCCTCCAAATTTACTCCCAAATTGACCCAAATCCACCTAAAATTTACCCCCAAATTTCCCTTAAAATTTGTCTCCAAATTGACCCAAAATTGGGCCAAAAGTTTCCTCGAATCCATCTGAAATTTGCCCCGAAATTCCACCTAAAATTTAACCCCAAATTCCCTGAAATTTACCCCAAATTTTACCCTGAAATTGACCCAAAACTTTCCTCAAACCAAGCTAAAATTTACCCCCAAATTCCTCTAAAATTTCCCCCCCAACTGACCCAAAATTCTTCTAAAAATTCACCCTCAAAACTGACCCAAACTCCCCCACAATTTACCCCCAAACTGACCCAAAATTTACCCCAAAATCCACCTAAAATTTACCCCCAAAACTGACCCAAATCCACCTAAAATTGACCCCCAAAATTGATCCAAATCCAGTGAAAATTTCTCCCCAATTTCCCCAAAATTTACCCCAATTTTCACCGCATCTTGGGGGATTTTGGGGTCATTTTGAGGTGGTTTTGGGCCAATTTAGGGCCATTTCGGGTCAATTTTTGGCTCTTAATTTTGAGGCCATTTTAGGGTGTTTTGGGGTGGTTTTTGGGATGATTTTGAGGTGATTTTGGGTCAATTTGGGGCTCTTGATTTTGAGGCCATTTCAGGGAGTTTTGGGGTGGTTTTTGGGGTGATTTTCATGGAATTTTGGGTCAATTTGGGGCCATTTTGGGTCAATTTTTGGCTCTTGATTTTGAGGCCATTCCAGGGTGTTTTGGGGTGGTTTTTGGGGTGATTTTCATGGAATTTTGGGTCAATTTGGGGCTATTTCGGGTCAATTTTTGGCTCTTGATTTCGAGGTCATTCCAGGGTGTTTTGGGGGTGGTTTTTGAGGTGATTTTGGGTCAATTTGGGGCCATTTCGGGTCAATTTTTAGCTCTTGATTTTGAGGTCATTTCAGGGTGTTTTGGGGTGATTTTGGGTCAATTTGGGGCTGGTTTTTGGCTCTTAATTTTGAGGTCATTTCAGGGTGTTTTGGGGTGTTTTTTGGGGTGATTTTGGGCCAATTTGGGGTGAATTTTTGGCTCTTAATTTTGAGGTCATTTCAGGGAGTTTTGGGGTGGATTTTGGGGTGATTTTGGGCCAATTTGGGGCCATTTTGGGTCAATTTTTGGCTCTTCATTTTGAGGCCATTTCAGGGTGTTTTGGGGTGTTTTTTGGGGTGATTTTGGGCCAATTTGGGGCCAATCTTTGGCTCTTGATTTCGAGGCCGTTTCAGGGTGTTTTGGGGTGATTTTGAGGTGATTTTGGGCCAATTTTGGGTCAATTTTTGGTTCTTGATTTTGAGGTCATTTCAGGGTGTTTTGGGGTGTTTTTTGGGGTGATTTTGGGCCAATTTGGGGCCAATCTTTGGCTCTTGATTTCGAGGCCGTTTCAGGGTGTTTTGGGGTGATTTTGAGGTGATTTTGGGCCAATTTTGGGTCAATTTTTGGTTCTTGATTTTGAGGTCATTTCAGGGTGTTTTGGGGTGTTTTTTGGGGTGATTTTGGGCCAATTTGGGGCCAATCTTTGGCTCTTGATTTCGAGGCCGTTTCAGGGTGTTTTGGGGTGGTTTTTGGGGTGATTTTGGGTCAATTTGGGGCCAATTTTTGGCTCTTGATTTTGAGGCCGTTCCAGGGTGTTTTGGGGTGGTTTTTGGGGTGATTTTCATGGAATTTTGGGTCAATTTGGGGCTATTTTGGGTCAATTTTTGGCTCTTGATTTTGAGGCCATTTCAGGGTGTTTTGGGGTGGTTTTTGGGGTGATTTTGGGCCAATTTGGGGCTGTTTTTTTGGCTCTTAATTTTGAGGCCATTTTAGGGTGTTTTGGGGTGGTTTTTGGGGTGATTTTGGGTCAATTTAGGGCCATTTCAGGTCAATTTTTAGCTCTTGATTTCGAGGCCATTTCAGGGTGTTTTGGGGGTGGATTTTGGGGTGATTTTCATGGAATTTTGGGTCAATTTGGGGCCATTTCTGGCCAATTTTTGGCTCTTGATTTCGAGGCCGTTTCAGGGTGTTTTGGGGTGTTTTTTGGGGTGATTTTGGGTCAATTTGGGGCTGTTTTTTGGCTCTTAATTTTGAGGCCATTTCAGGGAGTTTTGGGGTGTTTTTTGGGGTGATTTTGGGCCAATTTGGGGCTGTTTTTTTGGCTCTTAATTTTGAGGTCATTTCAGGGTATTTTGGGGTGATTTTTGGGGGGAATTTCATGGAATTTTGGGTCAATTTGGAACCATTTCAGGTCAATTTTTGGCTCTTGATTTTGAGGTCATTTCAGGGTGTTTTGGGGTGGTTTTTGGGGTGATTTTGGGTCAATTTGGGGCCAATTTTTGGCTCTTAATTTTGAGGCCATTTCAGGGTGTTTTGGGGTGATTTTGAGGTGATTTTGAGCCAATTTGGGGCCAATTTTTGGGCCAATTTTGGGCCATTTCAGGTCAATTTTTGGCTCTTGATTTCGAGGACACTTCAGGGTGTTTTGGGGTGATTTTTGGCCAATTTGGGGCTGTTTTTTAGCTCTTGATTTTGAGGTCATTTCAGGGAGTTTTGGGGTGGATTTTGGGGTGATTTTCATGGAATTTTGGGTCAATTTGGGGCTATTTTGGGTCAATTTTCAGCTCTTGATTTCGAGGTCGTTTTTGGGGTGGATTTTGGGATGATTTTGAGGTGATTTTGGGCCAATTTGGGGCCAATCTTTGGCTCTTGATTTTTAGGTCATTTCAGGGAGTTTTTGGGTGATTTTGAGGTGATTTTGGGCCATTTCAGGTCAATTTTTGGCTCTTGATTTTGAGGTCATTTCAGGGTGTTTTGGGGTGGTTTTGGGGTGATTTTCATGGAATTTTGGGTCAATTTGGGGCCATTTCGGGTCAATTTTTGGCTCTTGATTTTGAGGCCATTTCAGGGAGTTTTGGGGTGGTTTTTGGGGTGATTTTCATGGAATTTTGGGTCAATTTGAGGCTATTTTGGGTCAATTTTTGGCTCTTGATTTTGAGGTCATTTCAGGGAGTTTTGGGGTGATTTTGAGGTGATTTTGGGCCATTTCAGGTCAATTTTTGGCTCTTGATTTTGAGGCCATTTTAGGGTGTTTTGGGGTGGTTTTTGGGGTGATTTTGGGTCAATTTAGGGCCATTTCAGGTCAATTTTTAGCTCTTGATTTCGAGGCCATTTCAGGGTGTTTTGGGGTGGATTTTGGGGTGATTTTCATGGAATTTTGGGTCAATTTGGGGCCATTTCGGGTCAATTTTTGGCTCTTGATTTCGAGGCCGTTCCAGGGTGTTTTGGGGTGGATTTTGGGGTGACTTTGGGGGTTTTTGGGACTCACATTGCCCACGTAGATGGACCTGGCATCAGCCTCCATCTTCTCCTCCAGGGACATGATCACCGGGCCGGCTGCGGGGGAGGGGACAAATGGGACGTTTTGGGGGTCCTGGGGGATTTGGGGGTCCTGGGGAGGATTTGGGGGTTTGGAGGATTTTGGGGGTCCTGGGGGATTTGGGGAGGATTGAGGGCATTTGAGGAGGATTGAGGGGATTTTGGGGAGTTTGGGGGATTTAGGGGATTTGGGGAGGTTTGGGGGTCCTGGGGGTCCTGGAGAGGATTTGAGGGGTCCTGGAGGATTTGGGGGTCCTGGGGAGGATTTGGGGGTCCTGGGGGATTTGGGGGGTCCTGGGGGATTTGGGGGTCCTGGGGGATTTGGGGGTCCTGGAAGGGATTTGGGGGTCCTGGAAGGATTTGGGGGTCCTGGGGGGAATTTGGGGGTCCTGGAGGGATTTGGGGGTCCTGGAGGGGATTTGGGGGTCCTGGGAGGATTTGGGGTCCTGGGGGGATTGGGGGTCCTGGGGGAATTTGGGGGTCCTGGAAGGGATTTGGGGGTCCTGGAAGGGATTTGGGGGTCCTGGGAGGATTTGGGGGTTTGGAGGGATTTGGGGTTCCTGGGGGATTTGGGGGTTTGAGGGGATTTGGGGGTCCTGGGGGGATTTGGGGGTCCTGGGGGATTTGGGGAGGATTGAGGGATTTGGGGGTCCTGGGAGGATTTGGGGGTTTGGAGGGATTTGGGGAGGATTGAGGGATTTTGGGGGTTTGGGGGGTTTGAGGGGATTTGGGGGTCCTGGAGGGATTTGGGGGTCCTGGGAGGATTTGGGGGTCCTGGAGGGGATTTGGGGGTCCTGGGAGGATTTGGGGTCCTGAAGGATTTGGGGGTCCTGGAAGGGATTTGGGGGTCCTGGGGGATTTGGGGAGGATTGAGGGGATTTGGGGGGTTTGAGGGGACTTGGGGGAGATTTGGAGGGATTTGGGGGTTTGAGGGGATTTGAAGGAATTTGGGGGTCCTGGGGAGGATTTGGGGGATTTGAGGGGTTTAGAGGGCATTTGAGGGGTCCTGGGGGATTTGGGGGTCTGAGGATTTTGGGGGATTTGAGAGGGTTTGGAGGGATTTGGGGGATTTGGGGGTCCTGGAGGGGGTTTGGGGGTCCTGGGGAGGATTTGGGGTCCTGGGGATTTGGGGGTCCTGGAAGGGATTTGGGGGAGGATTGAGGGGATTTTGGGGGATTTGGGGGTCCTGGGGGATTTGGGGGGTCCTAGGAAAGATTTTGGGGGGATTTAGGGGGAAGTGAGGGGATTTTTGGGGCTCCCAGGTGGAATTTTGGGGTATTTTTGGGGGTCCCAGGTCAGATTTTGGGGGTCCCAGGTCAGATTTTGGGAGATTTTTGGGTTCCCAATTTGGATTTTGGGGGTCCCAGGTCAGATTTTGGGGGATTTTGGGACCTCCCAACCCATTTTTGGGGGGGGTTTTGGACCCCCTGACCCCGTTTTTGGGGGTTTTGGGTCATCCAAACCCCATTTTGGGGATATTTTGGGGGTTTTTGGGTCGTTTCAGCCCCATTTTGGGGGTATTTTGGGGGTTTTTGGACCCCCTGACCCCATTTTTGGAGGTTTTTGGGTCATCCAAGTCCCATTTTGGGGGTATTTTAGGGGTTTTTGGGTCAACCAAGCCCCATTTTGGGGATATTTTAGGGGGTTTTGGGTCATCCAAGCCCCATTTTGGGAATATTTTAGGGGTTTTTGGGTATTTCAGCCCCATTTTGGGGGTATTTTTGAGGTTTTTGGACCCCCCAAACCCATTTTTAGGGGGGTTTTTGGACCCCTCGACCCCATTTTTGGGGTTTTTGGGGGTATTTTTGGGGGTTTTTGGACCCCCCAAACCCATTTTTAGGGGGGTTTTTGGTCCCCCCGACCCCGTTTTTGGGGGTTTTGGGGATATTTTGGGGGTTTTTGGACCTCCCAAACCCATTTTTGGGGGTTTTGGGGGTATTTTTGAGGTCTTTGGACCCCCCGACCCCATTTTTGGGGGTATTTTAGGGGTTTTTGGACCCCCCGACCCCGTTTTGGGGGGTTTTGGGGGTATTTTAGGGGTTTTTGGACCCCCCGACCCCGTTTTTGGGGGTTTTGAGGGCGGCTGAATTCGATTTTGGGGGTGTTTTGGGGGTCCCTCTCACCGTTGCCCGGCGGGGGGCTCATGTTCATCTGCTTCTCCACCTCGTTCTGCAGCTCCTTCAGCTTCTCCGCCTCCTCCTCCATCTCCCTCACCCGGGCCTTGATGGCCTCCAGCTCCTGGGGAAAGGGGGGGTTTTAAAAAAATCACCCCAAAAATCACATTTAGGGACCCCCAAAACCCCCTCCCTGGAATTGGGATCCAAGATCTCCCCTTTTTGACCGAATTTTGGTCTTTTACACCTGATTTTTGGCCCAATTTTTGCCTCTTTTGTCCCAAATTCGACCCTGATTTTTGGCCCATTTTGACCCCAAATTTGACCCCAAGTTTTGGCCACTTTTGACCCAAATTTGGCCCCAAATTCCACCCCAACTGCCCCAGATTTGACCCCAATTTTTGGCCCCTTTTGACCCAGATTCAGCCCCAAATTTTTGGCCCCTTTTAACCCAAATTAGTTGTCAAGTTTTGCCCAAAAAACGACCCCAATTTTGCCCTTTTTGACCCCAAATTCGACCCCAATTCAGCCCCAGCTTTTTTGCCCCAATCACCCCGAATTAAGCCCAAATTTTTGGCCCCTTTTGCCCCCAAATTCGACCCCAAACTTTTGGCCCCTTTTGACCCAAAATCGACCCAAGTTTTGCCCTTCATTTTCCCTCCTTTTACCCCGGTTTTTCCCCAATTTCCCCCTCATTTTCCCCAATTTTCCTCCCTTTTCTCCCCATTTTCCCCCCTCATTTTCCCCCTCATTTTCCCCCATTTTCCCCTTCCCCCCACTCCCCTCACGTTTTCCCGCCCTTTTTTCCCGCCTTTTCTCCCCCATCCCCTCACGTTTTCCCGCCCTTTTTCCTCCCCCTCACCACCCTCCTCTCCCCCCGCGCCATTTTCACTCACCGGGTCCTCAATGGCGGCCTCTCCCTTCCCCTTCCCCCAACCCCGGCTCCTCCTCCAGCTCCTCGCCCGCGGCTTCGTGAGGCGGCCCCAGGAGCCGCCGAGGCGGCGGCGGCGGCAGCAGCTCCGGCTCCTCCGGCTCCTCCGGCGGCGGCTCCGCTTCCCCCTCCAGCCCCTCCCGACCCCCTCCGCGGACACCCCCGCCCCGGCCCCGGCTCCCCCCGTCGCCGCCCAGCGAGGCCGCCGCCTCCTCCGGCCCCGCCGCCGCCGCCGAGGGCCCGCCGAGCCCGTTGCCGTAAGGCGGGGAAGGGTCCCGGAACCCCCCGGCCCTCCCGGCCCCGTCCCGGCCCCGGCCGAGGCTCCTCCGGCCGCCGCCGCCATGGCCGCCATGGCCGCCCTGCCCGCCCCGCCCTCAGAGAGCGCGGCCTGAGGCGGCGGCCAATCAGGGAGCGTCGTGGGCGGGCTCGAGGCAGGATCCGCCAATGGCCGATCTCTGTGACTGGCGCGAGAAGAAGCCAATGGGAAGCCACATCGGGGAAAGAGGCGGGGGTTGAGGCGCCGGCCAATCGCGGCGCGGCGTGGGGGAGGCGGACCAATCAGAGGCGGAGGATGAGGAGGCGGCCAATGGGAAGCCGAGGCGGGAAGGGCGGGAGCGCTGAGGCGACGACCAATAGGAAGAGAGAATCAGCCGAAGGACCAATAATAGCGCGGGAGGGGCGGGACTAGAGAGAAACCGACCAATAGGAGGGCGCGTGGGGCGTGGCCTGAGTTTAAAGGCGCCTCCGCCGCTCTCCCGTTATGCAAATTAGAGATGTTAATTAACTAATTAAAACAGTTATTGGCTTAATTAAGGGTTGGGGGAGGCGGAGGGGTTAATTAGGGCCGTTCATTAACACGAAGGGCGTTAAATGGAGCGGGGGGCGTTAAATAGCGCGGGGGAGGGCTTAATTAACGAATTAACCGTTAATTAGCGCTAATTAGCGCCGGGGTCGTTAATTAAACCCCGTTAATTCCCGCGAGGGGGTTAATGGGGAAAAAAAGGCCGCGGGCCCTTTAAAACGGGTTAATTAATGACCCCGGAGGGGGGTTAATTAATGACCAAGAGGGGGTTAATTAATGACCCGGAGGGGCGTTAATTAATGACCCGGAGAGGGGTTAATTAACAACCCGGGCGGGGTTAATTAGTGAGTTATTAAGGGCAATTAACGCGGCCTTAATTGGGGAGGGGGGGGTTGTGAGGGGGAAAGGGAGGGGGCGTGGCCAACGTGAGGTGGGCGTGGCTTAAACGCCATAGAAATCAATTGGGTGGGCGTGGTTTAACCGTGGGGGCGTGGTTTGAGCGCCATAGAAAGCAATTGAGTGGGCGTGGTTTAACCGTGGGGGCGTGGTTTGAGCGCCATAGAAAGCAATTGAGTGGGCGTGGTTTCTATGAGGGGGCGTGGTCTGCCCGCAATAGAAATCAGTAGAGTAGGCGTGGTTTTCTTTCTAAGGGGCGTGGCCTGAGCTCCATTTAAGGCAATGAGAGGGGGGCGTGGTTTAAACTCCCATTAAAAGCAACGGAGGGGGCGTGGTTTTGCCTTAGGGGGCGTGGCCTGAGCCCCATTCCACTCAACGGAGGGGGCGTGGCCTGAGCGAGAAGGGGGCGTGGCCTGAGGACCCCAGACCTATTTTTGGGGTTTTTTACCCCATTTTGGGGACCCCCCGACCCCTTTTTGGGGTCTTTGACGTCATTTTTGGGACCCCAGACCCATTTGGGGACCCCAGACCCATTTTTGGGGTCTTTTAAGTCATTTTTGGGCTCTTTTTTAGTCCTTTTTGGGGTCTTTTAAATCACTTTTTGGGGTCTTTTTGGGGTCTTTTAAGCCCCTTTTTGGGGTCTTTTCTCTCCTTTTTGGGCTCTTTGACGTCATTTTTGGGACCCCCGACCCATTTTGGGACCCCCCAGACCCATTTTGGGACCCCAGACCCATTTGGGGTCTTTTAGGTCATTTTTGGGCTCTTTTTTAGTTCTTTTTGGGGGTCTTTTAAATCACTTTTTGGGGTCTTTTTGGGGTCTTTTCACTCCTTTTTGGGCTCTTTGACGTCATTTTTGGGACCCCCGACCCATTTTGGGACCCCCCAGACCCATTTGGGGACCCCAGACCCATTTTGGGGGTCTTTTCCCTCCTTTTTGGGGTCATTTTAGTCCTTTTTGGTCTCTTTAAAGTCATTTTTGGACTCTTTTTAGTCCTTTTTGGGGTCTTTGACGTCATTTTTGGGACCCCAGACCCATTTTGGGGACCCCCAGACCCATTTTTGGGCTCTTTTCCCTCCTTTTTGGGGTCATTTTAGTCCTTTTTTGACTCCTTAAAGTCATTTTTGGGGTCTTTTCACTCCTTTTTGGGCTCTTTGACGTCATTTTTGGGACCCCAGACCCATTTTGGGACCCCAGACCCATTTTGGAGGTCTTTTAAGTCACTTTTGGTCTCTTTTAAATCACTTTTTGGGGTCTTTTCCCTCCTTTTTGACCTCTTTTAATTCATTTTTTTGCCTCTTTTAGTTCATTTTTGGCCTCTTTGACGTCATTTTTGGGACCCCAGACCCATTTTTGGGCTCTTTTAAGCCCCTTTTTGGGGTCATTTCAGTCCTTTGGGCTCATTTTAGTCGGCTCTTTTAAGCCCCTTTTTGGGGTCATTCAGTCCTTTGGGCTCTTTTTTAGTCCTTTTTTGCCTTTTTAAAGTCATTTTTGGGGTCTTTTCACTCCTTTTTGGGCTCTTTGACGTCATTTTTGGGACCCCCGACCCATTTTGGGGACCCCAGACCCATTTTTGGGGTCTTTTAAGTCACTTTTGGTCTCTTTTAAATCACTTTTTGGGGTCTTTTCCCTCCTCTTTGACCTCTTTTAATTCATTTTTTGCCTCTTTTAATTCATTTTTGGCCTCTTTGACGTCATTTTTGGGACCCCAGACCCATTTTTGGGCTCTTTTAAATCACTTTTTGGGGTCTTTTCCCTCCTTTTTGCCCTCTTTAAATTCATTTTTTTACCTCTTTTACCTCCTTTTCCTCCTCTTTTCCCCCATTTCGGGACCCCCGACCCATTTTGGGACCCCAGACCCATTTTGGGGACCCCAGACCCATTTTTGGGGTCTTTTCCCTCGTTTTTGGGGTCATTTCAGTCCCTTTTGGGCTCTTTTTTAGTCATTTTTGGACTCTTTTTAATTCATTTTTTGCCTCTTTTTATTCCTTTTTGGGGTCTTTGACGTCATTTTTGGGGACCCCAGACCCATTTGGAGACCCCAGACCCATTTTGGGGGTCTTTTCCCTCCTTTTTGGACTCTTTTTAGTACTTTTTGGGGTCTTTTAAGTCATTTTTGGACTCTTTTTAATTCATTTTTGGGGTCTTTGACGTCATTTTTGGGACCCCAGACCCATTTTTGGGGTCTTTTCCCTCCTTTTTGGGCTCTTTTAAGTCACTTTTGGGGTCTTTTAAATCATTTTTGGGTTCTTTTAAATCATTTTTTGCCTCTTTTAACTCCTTTTCTTCCTCTTTTCCCTCATTTTGGGACCCCAGACCCATTTGGGGACCCCAGACCCATTTTGGGGTCTTTTCCCTCCTTTTTGGGGTCATTTCAGTCCTTTTTGGGCTCTTTTTTAGTCCTTTTTTGACTCTTTAAAGTCATTTTTGGGGTCTTTTCACTCCTTTTTGGGCTCTTTGACGTCATTTTTGGGACCCCAGACCCATTTTGGGGACCCCAGACCCATTTTTGGGGTCTTTTACGTCATTTTTGGGGTCATTTCAGTCCTTTTTGGACTCTTTTTTAGTCATTTTTTGCCTCTTTAAAGTCATTTTTGGGGTCTTTAAATTCATTTTTTGCCACTTTTAATTCATTTTTGGGCTCTTTGACGTCATTTTTGGGACCCCAGACCCATTTTTGGGCTCTTTTAAGCCCCTTTTTGGGGTCTTTTCCCTCCTTTTTGGGCTCTTTTAAGACTCTTTTTTAGTCCTTTTTACCCTCTTTAAATTCATTTTTTTACCTCTTTTCCCCCATTTCGAGACCCCCGACCCATTTTTTTCCCCTCCCCCCTTTTTTTCCCCTCCCCTCCTTTTTTTTTTTCCCCGCCCCTCCCCCTTCCCATTTTTTTCCCTTCCCGATCCCAAAAGTCCGAAGGTCACCCTGGCCTGGGGGAGGGGTCAAAATCCTTCCCTTTCGAGGCTTTTTTTCCCTTAAATTTCCCTTTTTTGGGGCTCTTTTCTCGCTGTTTTCACCCCAAAAAAAACCCCGCCCCTCCCCACCTTTTTCCCTTTTTAACCCTTTTTATTCCGTTTTATTTTGATTTTCGAGCGGAAAAAAGGGAAAAAAAGGCAAAAAGGCGATTTTAGGGGGCCAAATGGGGGAGGGGACAGGGCGAGACCCCATTAAAAAGGAGAGCCCCTAAAAAGGGGAGGAGGAGGGGCCGGGTGGGGAGAGGTGGGCCTGAAAAAGGAGATCGGGCTGCTCAGCGCCTGCGGCATCATCGTGGGTGAGTTTTTAGCGCTTGTTTTGGGGCCATTTCGGGGCTTTTTGGGGCTTTTTTGGGCGTTAAAAATTTTGGGGATTCGTCAAAAAAAATTTGGGGCCACCACTTAAAAAAATGGGGGTTGGGAGGGTCTGGAAATGAAAAAAAATCGGATTTTTGGGGGTTTTTGGGTTAAAAATTCGGGGATTTCCCCCCAAAAAAATCGGATTTTTGGGGCTGAAAAATTCGGGGATTCGTCCCAAAAAATTTGGGGAAACCACTTAAAAAATTGGGGGTTGGGAGGGTCTGGAAATGGAAAAAAAATCGGATTTTTGGGGCTGAAAAATTCGGGGATTTCCCCCAAAAAAATTTGGGGCCACCCCTTAAAAAAATGGGGGTTTGGGAGGGTCTGGAAATGAAAAAAAAATCGGATTTTTGGGGGTTAAAAAATTCGGGGATTTTCCCCAAAAAAATTTGGGGCCACCACTTAAAAAATTGGGGGTTTGGGAGGGTCTGGAAATGAAAAAAAAATCGGATTTTTGGGGGGTTTTGGGGTTAAAAAATTCGAGGATTTTCCCAAAAAAAATTTGGGGCCACCCCTTAAAAAATTGGGGGTTTGGGAGGGTCTGGAAATGAAAAAAAAATCGGATTTTTGGGGGTTAAAAAATTCGGGGATTTCGTTCCCAAAAATTTGGAGCCACCCCTTAAAAAAATGGGGGGTTGGGAGGGGCTGGAAATGGAAAAAAAATCGGATTTTTGGGGGGTTTTTGGGTTAAAAATTTTAGGGATTTTCCCCAAAAAAATTTGGAGCCACCCCTTAAAAAAATGGGGGGTTGGGAGGGGCTGGAAATGGAAAAAAAATCGGATTTTTGGGGTTTTTTTGGTCTTGAAATTCACTCCAAATGCAAGAGAAATTTATTTGGGGGGGGATATTTCGAGAATTCACCCCCTAAAAAATTTGGGAACCCAAAAATCCCCCCAATTAAAAAAAAAAAAATTAAAAAAAAATAAAAATAAATAATAAACAAACAAAATCGACCCAAAATGGACCCAAAATTGACCCCAAATCGACCCCAAATCGCCCCAAAAATTTGGGACCCCCCTCAAAAATTTGGGACCCCCCCCCAAAATCCCCCCAATTAAAAAAAAAAAATTAAAAAAATAAAAAAAAAAACCAAATTGACCCAAAATGGACCCAAAATGGACCCAAAAAACCCCAAAATCGACCCCAAAAACCCCAAATTGACCCCAAATCCCCCCAACCCCCCCAAATCCCCCCAAATGATCCCCAAAATCCCATTTTTTCACCCAAATCCTAATTTTTTCCCAAAAACCTCCCCAACCCCCCCCAAAATCCCATTTTTTGGGCCATAAATCCCCATTTTTTCACCCAAATCTCAATTTTTTCACCCAAATCCCCCCAAAATGACCCCAAAACCCTCTAAAATCCCATTTTTCCCCCTAAATCCCAATTTCTTCCCCCCAAAACCCCCCAAATCCCCATTTTTTTACCCTAAATATGATTTTTTTTCACCCCAAACCTCCCAAATTTCCCCCAAATGAGCCCCAAAATCCCAATTTTCCCCCCCAATTTCCCCCCAAAATGGTCCCCAAATCCCTTTTTTCATCCAAATCCCATTTATTTTGTCCCAAATCTCCCCAAATTGACCCCAAAACCCCACAAAATCCCATTTTTTTCACCCAAATCCCAATTTTTCCCCCCTAAATTCCCTCAAACCCACCCCAAATCCCAATTTTTTTGCCCTAAATCCCAATTTTCCGCCCCAAACCCCAATTTTGTCCTCCCAAACCCCATTTTTTTTGGCCATAAATCCCATTTTTCACCCAAACTTCACCATTTTTTCACCCTAAATCCCAATTTTTAAGCCATAAATCCCTTTTTTTCCCCCTAAATTCTCATTTTAATCCATTTTTTCTTCATTTTCCCCCATTTTTCACCCAAATTTCACCATTTTTTCACCAGAAATCCCATTTTTTTCACCAGAAACCCCATTTTTTTTTGCAGAAAATCCCATTTTTTCTTCATTTTTTCCCCTGAATTTCACCATTTTTTCACCAGAAATCCCAATTTTTCAACCCAAACCCCAATTTTTTTCACCAAAAATCCCAATTTAAATCCATTTTTTCTTCATTTTTCCCCCATTTTTCACCCGAATTTCACCATTTTTTCGCCAGAAATCCCATTTTTTTTTGGTCCAAAATCCCATTTTTCACCCCAAACCCCATTTTTTTCCCCAGAAATCCTCATTTTAATCCATTTTTTCTTCATTTTCCCCCCATTTTTCACCTGAAAAATCCCTTTTTTTTGCCATAAACCCCAATTTTTTTTCCATAAATCCCATTTTTTTCACCAAAAATCCCAATTTAATCCAATTTTTTTCATTTTTCCCCCATTTTTCACCCGAATTTCACCATTTTTTTACCAGAAATCCCAATTTTAATCCATTTTTCCCCCATTTTTCCCCCAAATTTCACCATTTTTTCACCAGAAATCCCATTTTTTTTTCAGGAAATCCCATTTTTTTCCCCAGAAATCCTCATTTTAATCCAATTTTTTTCATTTTCCCCCCATTTTTCCCCCGAATTTCACCATTTTTTCCCCAGAAATCCCATTTTTTTCTCCAAAAATCCCAATTTTAATCCATTTTTCCTCATTTTTCCCCCAATTTTCACCTGAATTTCACCGTTTTTTTCACCAGAAACCCCATTTTTTTCCCCAAAAAATCCCAATTTAAATCCATTTTTTTTCATTTTCCCCCCCAATTTTCCCCCAAATTTCACCATTTTTTTGCCATAAATCCCATTTTTTTCCCCCAAAATCCCAATTTTAATCCATTTTTTCTTCATTTTCCCCCCATTTTTTTCATTTTTCCCCCATTTTTCAACCGAATTTTACCATTTTTTCACCATAAATCCCAATTTAAATCCATTTTTTCTTCATTTTTCCCCCATTTTTCACCTGAATTTCACCGTTTTTTCGCCAGAAATCCCATTTTTTTGCCATAAATCTCATTTTTTCTTCATTTTCCCCCCAATTTTCCCACAAATTTCACTGTTTTTTCACCAGAAATCCCATTTTTTTCACCAAAAATCCCAATTTTAATCCATTTTTCCCCATTTTTCACCCGAATTTCACCATTTTTTCACCAGAAATCCCATTTTTGTACCCAGAAATCCCATTTTTTCTTCATTTTTCCCCCATTTTTCACCCAAATTTCACCGTTTTTTCACAAGAAATCCCTTTTTTTTTGCAGAAAATCCCATTTTTTCTTCATTTTTCCCCATTTTTTACCCGAATTTCACCATTTTTTCACTGTAATTTTTAATTTCCCCTCTTTTTCTCCCTTTTCCCCCAGGGAACATCATCGGCTCGGGGATCTTCGTGGCCCCCAAGGGTGTCCTGGCCCTCCCAAACCCCCATTTTTTCACCCCAAACCCCCATTTTTTCCCCAGAATCCCATTTTTTTCGCCATAAATCCCATTTTTTTGGCTCTAATTTTTAATTTTCTCCCAATTTCTCCCTCTTCCCCCAGGGAACATCATCGGCTCGGGGATCTTCGTGGCCCCCAAGGGGGGTCCTGGCCCTCCCAAATCCCTCCCAAACTCCCCCAAACCCCCATTTTTTCACCCCAAACCCCCTTTTTTTTGCCCTAAATCCCATTTTTCACCTGAATTTCACCATTTTCTCTCCAGAAATCCCATTTTTTTTCAGGAAATCCCATTTCTTTACCAAAAATCCCAATTTAAATCCATTTTTCTTCATTTTCCCCCCATTTTCCACCCGAATTTCACCGTTTGTTTCACCAGAAATCCCAATTTTAATCCATTTTCCCCCCATTTTCCACCCAAATTTCACCATTTTTTCACCAGAAATCCCATTTTTTTCCATAAATCCCATTTTTTCCCCAAAAATCCCATTTTTAATCCATTTTTTCTTCATTTTCCCCCCTTTTTTCACCCAAATTTCACCATTTCTTCACAAAAAAATCCCAATTTAAATCCATTTTTTCTTCATTTTTCCCCCATTTTTCACCCGAATTTCCCCATTTTTTTGCAGAAAATCCCATTTTTTCGCTCTAACCCCCCTTTTTCTCCCTTTCCCCCCAGTTCCCATCATCGGCTCGGGGATCTTCGTGGCCCCCAAGGGGGTCCTGGCCCTCCCAAATCCCCCCCAAACCCCCATTTCTTTAACCAGAAATCCCATTTTCCACTCAAAATTTCACCATTTTTTCCCCAGAAATCCCATTTTCTTTCCATAAATCCCATTTTTAATTGCCCTAAATCCCATTTTTTCACCCTAAACCCCATTTTTATTCCCAGAAATCCCATTTTTTCTTCATTTTTCCCCCATTTTTCACCCAGATTTCACCATTTTTTCACCAGAAATCCCTTTTTTTTTTGCTAGAAATCCCTTTTTTTTTGCAGAAAATCCCATTTTTTCTTCATTTTTCCCCTGAATTTCACCATTTTTTCCCCAGAAATCCCATTTTTTTCGCTAGAAATCCCATTTTTTTTGCAGAAAATCCCATTTTTTTGTCTGTAATTTTTAATTTTCTCCCTTTCCCCCCAGTTCCCATCCTCGGCTCGGGGATCTTCGTGGCCCCCAAGGGGGGTCCTGGCCCTCCCAAATCCCCCCCAAACTCCCCCAAACCCCCATTTTTTCACCCCAAACCCCCATTTTTCACCCGAATTTCACCGTTTTTTCCCCAGAAATCCCATTTTTTTCTCCAAAAATCCCAATTTTAATCCATTTTTCCTCATTTTTCCCCCAATTTTCACCTGAATTTCACCGTTTTTTTCACTAGAAATCCCATTTTTTTCCCCAAAAAATCCCAATTTAAATCCATTTTTTCTTCATTTTCCCCCCATTTTTTCTTTTTCCCCCATTTTTCACCCAAATTTCACCATTTTTTCACCAGAAATCCCATTTTTTTCCCCAGAAATCCTCATTTTAATCCATTTTTTTTTTCATTTTTCCCTCATTTTTCACCCGAATTTCACCGTTTTCTCTCCAGAAATCCCATTTTTTTCGCCAGAAATCCCATTTTTTTCTACTCTAACTCCCAATTTTTTCCATTTTTTTGCTCTAATTTTTAATTTTCTCCCTCTTCCCCCAGGGAACATCATCGGCTCGGGGATCTTCGTGGCCCCCAAGGGGGGTCCTGGCCCTCCCAAATCCCCCCCAAACTCCCCCAAACCCCCATTTCTTTAACCAGAAATCCCATTTTTCACCCGAATTTCACCGTTTTTTCGCCAGAAATCCCATTTTTTTGTCCAAAATCCCATTTTTAATTGCCCTAAATCCAATTTTTTCACCCTAAACCCCATTTTTTCCTCCAAAAATCCCAATTTAAATCCATTTTTTCTACATTTTTCCCCCATTTTTCACCCGAATTTCACCATTTTTTCACCAGAAATCCCATTTTTTTTGCTAGAAATCCCATTTTTTTTGCAGAAAATCCCATTTTTTCTCTCTAACCCCCCAATTTCTCCCTTTTCCCCCAGGGAACATCATCGGCTCGGGGATCTTCGTGGCCCCCAAGGGGGTCCTGGCCCTCCCAAACCCCCATTTTTATTGCCAGAAATCCCATTTTTTCTTCATTTTTCCCCATTTTTTACCCGAATTTCCCCATTTTTTTGCAGAAAATCCCATTTTTTTTGCTCTAACCCCCCTTTTTCTCCCTTTCCCCCCAGGGAACATCATCGGCTCGGGGATCTTCGTGGCCCCCAAGGGGGTGCTGGCGCACTCGGGGGCGGTGGGGCCGTCCCTGCTGGTCTGGGGGGTGACGGGGGCCGTGACGGCCGTGGGGGCTCTTTGTTACGCCGAGCTGGGCGTGGCCATCCCCAGGGCGGGCGGGGACTACGCCTACGTCTGCCACGTCTTCGGGGGGCTCCTGGGGTGAGTATCCCAACAAAAAAATTTGGGAGAAATCGGCAAAAAACCCAGTCAAAATCGGCCTTTTTTTGCCCCAGTTTTGCCCAAAAATCGGGTCAAAATTCGGGTTAAAATGGGTCGAAAATCGGGTTCAAAAAGGCCCAAAAATTCAAGTTAAAATGGCCCAAAAATCGACCAAAATTCAGGTTAAAATGGGTCGAAAATCGGGTTAAAAAAGGCCCAAAAATTGGCTCAAAGTCGGCCAAAATTTGGGTTGAAAATGGCCCAAAAATCGGCTCAAACTAGCCCAAAAATTGACTCAAAATCAGGTCAAAATCGACCGAAAATTGGCTCAAAATCGTCCCAAAAATGGGATTAAAAAAGGCCCAAAATTGGGTCAAAATCGCCCCAAAAATCAGGTTAAAATGGCCCAAAAATTGGCTTAAAATCGACCAAAATTTGGGATAAAATGACCCAAAAATCGGCTCAAAAATCACCCATTTTTTGCCCCAAATTTGTCCCGAAATGCCCCATTTTTGGCCCCTTTGTTACGCCGAGCTGGGCGTGGCCATCCCCAGGGCGGGCGGGGACTACGCCTACGTCTGCCACGGCTTCGGGGGGCTCCTGGGGTGAGTATCCCCCCCAAAAAAATTTGGGGAGAAATTGCCCCAAATTTGGGGAGAAATCGGCAAAAAACCCCGTCAAAATCGGCCTTTTTTTGCCCCAGTTTTGCCCAAAAATCGGGTCAAAATTCGGGTTAAAAACGGCCCGAAAATCGCATCAAAATTTACCTTTTTATGGCCAAAAAATCGGGTCAAAATCGCCCCAAAATTCGAGTTAAAATAGGCCAAAAATTGGGTCAAAATTGAGTTAAAATGAGCCAAAAATTGGGTCAAAATTTGGATTAAAACCGGCCCAAAAATCGCATTAAAATTGACCTTTTTATGGCCAAAAAATCGGGTCAAAATCCGGTTGAAATTCGAGTTAAAATGGGCCAAAAATCGGCCAAAATTCGGGTTAAAATGGGTCAAAAATTGGGTCAAAATTCGGGTTGAAATGGGACAAAAATTGGGTCAAAATTTGGGTTAAAATGGGCCAAGATTTGGGTTAAAAACAGCCCAAAAATCGCATTAAAATCGGCCTTTTTACGGCCAAAAAATCGGGTCAAAATCGCCCCAAAATTCAAGTTAAAATGGGCCAAAAATTGGGTCAAAATTTGGGTTAAATTGGGCCAAGATTTGGGTTAAAAACAACCCAAAAATCACATTAAAATTGGCCTTTTTTTACCCCAAAAATCAGGTCAAAATCCGGTTGAAATTCGAGTTAAAACGGCCCAAAAATCGACCAAAATTCGGGTTAAAATGGGCCAAGATTTGGGTTAAAAATGACCCAAAAATCGCATCAAAATTGGCACTTTTTTTACCCCAAAAATCGGCTCAAAATTTGAGTTAAAATGGGTCAAAAATTGAGGTTAAAATCAGTCCAAAATTTGGGTTAAAATGGGCCAAAAATGGGGTCAAAATTGAGGTTAAAATGGGTCCAAAAGTTGGGTTAAAAATGACCCTAAATTCAAGTCAAAATTGCCCCAAAAATTGGCTCAAAACCGGGTCAAAATCACCCCAAAATTCGGGTTAAAACGGCCCAAAAATCAGCCAAAATTTGGGTTAAAAATGGTCCAAAAATCGACCAAAATTTGGGTCAAAATCGCCCCAAAATTTGGGTTAAAATGGCCCAAAAGCCGACTCAAAAATCACCCATTTTTTTACCCCAAATTTGTGTCAAAATGACCCCAATTTTTTGGCCCCAATTTCACCCCAAATTCAGCTCGAAATTACCCCAAAAATTCACCTCGAAATTGCTCATTTTTTAACCCCCATTTTACCCCAATTTGACCCAAAATCCCCCCAAAATCAACTCAAAATCCCCCATTTTTGGCTCCGATTTCGCTCGAAATTTGACTCAAAAATCACCCATTTTTTACCCCGATTTTGACCTAAAAAACCTCAATTTTTTTATTCCAAATTCAGCTCCAAAAGTTGCCCATTTTTGGCTCCGAAATCGATTCAAAATTGCCCCAAAATCCCCCATTTTTGACCCAAAAATCAGCTCAAAATCCTCCATTTTTACCTCCGATTTCACCCCAAATTCGACCCAAAATCGCCCATTTTTTACCCCGATTTTGACCTAAAACCCCTCAGTTTTTTTATCCCAAGTTTTTGGCCCCCAAATCCAGCTCCAAATTGCCCCAAAAATTCACCCCGAATTTGCCCATTTTTTACCCCAAATTTTACCCCAAAATTTGCCTCAAAACCCACCCAAAAATCGCCCAAAATTCAGAATAAAACCACCCTTTTTTCGCCTAAAATCCCCCATTTTTAACCCCAAATTGCTCCCAAACCCTCCCATTTTTTCCCTGATTTCCCCCAAACTTTGATTTCCCCATTCCTGACCCGAATTTTCCCAAAATTTGGGTTTTTTTGCAGGTTTTTACGCCTGTGGATCTTGGTGCTGGTGATTTACCCCACCAACCCCCCTCAAACCTGCCCAAATCATCCCAAATTCACCCCAAAAATCTCCCATTTTTCGGCCCCAATTTCACCCCAAATTTGACCCAAAATTGCCCATTTTTTGCCCCAATTTTGTTCCAAATCCGACTCAAAATCCCCCCAAAATTGGACTCAAAATTGCCCATTTTTTGCCCCGATATTGCCCAAAATTTGGCTCAAAAATCGACTCAAAAATTCCCCTTTTTTTGCTCAATTTCTCTCAAACTTGGGCTGAAAAGTGCCCAAAAATTGGCTCAAAAATCACCCATTTTTAGCCCAAATATCACCCCAAATTTGGCTCAAAATCTCCCATTTTTTGCCCCCGATTTCACCCCAAATTTGACCCAAAATCGCCCATTTTTCACCCCAAATTGGACTCAAATTCCCCCCAAAATTCCCTCAAATTTTGACCCAAAATCGGCCAAAAATCAGCGCAAAAATCAACTCAAAAATCACCCATTTTTTACCCCGATTTTGACCTAAAACCCCTCAGTTTTTTTATCCCAGTTTTGCCTTAAATCCAGCCCAGTTTTGGCTCCAAAATCAATTCAAAATCACCCCAAAATCCCCCGTTTTTGACCCAAAACTCAGCTCAAAACCCCCCATTTTTGGCTCCGATTTCGCTCGAAATTCGACTCAAAATCCCCCATTTTTTACCCCAATTTTGACCAAAAACCCCTCCATTTCTTTATCCCAAGTTTTTTACCCCAAATCCAACTCCAAATTGCCCCAAAAATTCACCCCGAATTTACTCATTTTTTACCCCAAATTTTACCCCAAAATTTGCCTCAAAACCCACCCAAAAATGGCCCAAAATTCAGAATAAAATCACCATTTTTTTACCTAAAATCCCCCATTTTTAACCCCAAATCGCTCCCAAACCCTCCTATTTTTCCCCTGATTTCCCCCAAACTTTGATTATCCCATTTTTTACCCGAATTTTCCCAAAATTTGGGTTTTTTTGCAGGTTTCTGCGCCTGTGGATCTCGGTGCTGGTGATTTACCCCACCAACCCCCCTCAAACCTGCCCAAATCACCCCAAATTCACCCCAAAAATCCCCCATTTTTCGGCCCCAATTTCACCCCAAATTTGACCCAAAATGGCCCATTTTTTACCCCAAATTGGACTCGAATTCCCCCCCAAAATTGACTCAAAATCACCCAAAATTTGGCCCCAAAATCGGCCAAAAATCAGCTCAAAAATCCCCCATTTCTGGCCCCAAATCCAACTCAAAATCAGCCATTTTTGCCCTGATTTCGCCCAAACTTGACCCAAACCCTCCCATTTTTTCCCTGATTTCCCCCAAACTTTGATTATCCAATTCTTTACCCAAATTTTCCCAAAATTTGGGTTTTTTTTCCAGGTTTTTACGCCTGTGGATCTCGGTGCTGGTGATTTACCCCACCAACCCCCCTCAAACCTGCCCAAATCACCCCAAATTCACCCCAAAAATCCCCCATTTTTCGGCCCCAATTTCACCCCAAATTCAGCTCAAAATTGCCCCAAAAATTCACCTCGAAATTGCTCATTTTTTAACCCCCATTTTACCCCAAATTCCACCCAAAATCCCCCCAAAATCAGCTCAAAATCCCCCATTTTTAGTTCCGATTTCGCTCGAAATTCGACTCAAAATCCCCCATTTTTACCCCGATTTTGACCTAAAAAACCTCAATTTTTTTATTCCAAATTCAGCTCCAAAAGTTGCCCATTTTTGGCTCCGAAATCGATTCAAAATTGCCCCAAAATCCCCCATTTTTGACCCAAAAATCAGCTCAAAATCCTCCATTTTTACCTCCGATTTCACCCCAAATTCGACCCAAAATCGCCCATTTTTTACCCCGATTTTGACCTAAAACCCCTCCATTTCTTTATCCCAAGTTTTTTACCCCAAATCCAGCTCCAAATTGCCCCAAAAATTCACCCCGAAATTGCTCATTTTTTACCCCAAATTTTACCCCAAAATTTGCCTCAAAACCCACCCAAAAATCGCCCAAAATTCAGAATAAAACCACCCTTTTTTTGCCTAAAATCCCCCATTTTTGGCCCCAAATTGCTCCCAAACCCTCCCATTTTTTCCCCTGATTTTCCCCAAACTTTGATTTCCCCATTCCTGACCCGAATTTTCCCAAAATCCCTGTTTTTTCCCCCAGATTCCTGCGCCTGTGGATCTCGGTGCTGGTGATTTACCCCACCAACCCCCCTCAAACCTGCCCAAATCGCCCCAAATTCACCCCAAAAATCCCCCATTTTTCAACCCAAATTTAACCCCAAATTTGACCCAAAATTGCCCATTTTTTGCCCCAATTTTGTTCCAAATCCGACTCAAAATCCCCCCAAAATTGGACTCAAAATTGCCCATTTTTTGCCCCGATATTGCCCAAAATTTTGGCTCAAAAATCGACTCAAAAATTCCCCTTTTTTTGCTCAATTTCTCTCAAACTTGGGCTGAAAAGTGCCCAAAAATTGGTTCAAAAATCCCCCATTTTTAGCCCAAATATCATCCCAAATTTGACCCAAAATTGTCCATTTTTTGCCCAAATTTTGCCTCAAATTCAGCTCAAAATCACCCAAAATTTGCTCTAAAATCGCCCATTTTTGAGCCCCGAATTTGTCTCAAAGTCCCTCATTTTTTACCCAAATTTGGCTCGAAATCCCCCATTTTTTGCCCCCGATTTCACCCCAAATTTGACCCAAAATTGCCCATTTTTTACCCCAAATTGGACTCAAATTTCCCCCAAAATTCCCTCAAATTTTGGCCCAAAATAGGCCAAAAATCAGCTCAAAAATCCCCCATTTCTGGCCCCAAATCCAACTCAAAATCAGCCATTTTTGCCCTGATTTCGCCCAAACTTGACCCAAACCCTCCCATTTTTTCCCCTGATTTCCCCCAAACTTTGATTATCCCATTTTTTACCCGAATTTTCCCAAAATTTGGGTTTTTTTGCAGGTTTCTGCACCTGTGGATCTCGGTGCTGGTGATTTACCCCACCAACCCCCCTCAAACCTGCCCAAATCACCCCAAATTCACCCCAAAAATCCCCCATTTTTCGGCCCCAATTTCACCCCAAATTTGACCCAAAATTGCCCATTTTTTACCCCAAATTGGACTCGAATTCCCCCCCAAAATTGACTCAAAATCACCCAAAATTTGGCCCCAAAATCGGCCAAAAATCGGCTCAAAAATCCCCCATTTCTGGCCCCAAATCCAACTCAAAATCAGCCATTTTTGCCCTGATTTCGCCCAAACTTGACCCAAACCCTCCCATTTTTTCCCTGATTTCCCCCAAACTTTGATTATCCCATTTTTTACCCGAATTTTCCCAAAATTTGGGGTTTTTTTGCAGGTTTCTGCGCCTGTGGATCTCGGTGCTGGTGATTTACCCCACCAACCAGGCCGTCATCGCCCTCACCTTCGCCAACTACGTCCTGCAGCCCCTCTACCCCTCCTGCCACACCCCCGAGGCCGCCCAGAGGCTCCTGGCTGCTGCCTGCCTGCGTGAGTTGTCCCAAAATTCCCGGAATTCCAGAAAAAATCCGGGAATTCCCAAAAAATTCCGCGAAGAAAGGACCAAAAACGGCCAAAAACGACCAAAATTGGACTTAAAATGACCCAAAATGGACCCAAAATGGACCCAAAACTGACCCCAAATCTCACCTGGAACTCATCTGAGTTTCCTGCCTGCGTGAGTTATCCCGGAATTCCCGGAATTCCAGAAAAAATCCGGGAATTCCCAAAAAATTCCATGACGAAAGGGCCAAAAACGGCCAAAACGACCAAAATTGGACTTAAAATGACCCAAAATGGACCCAAAATGGACCCAAAACTGACCCCAAATCTCACCTGGAACTCATCTGAGTTTCCTGCCTGCGTGAGTCGTCCCAAAATTCCCGGAATTCCCAAAAAAATCCGGGAATTCCCGAAAAATTCCATGAAGAAAGGGCCAAAAACGGCCAAAAACGGCCCTAAAATGACCCAAAATGGACCCAAAACAGCCCCAAATTTTAACTGGAACTCACCTGAGACTCACCTGAGGTTCCTGCCTGTGTGAGTGGTCCCGGAATTCCAGGAATTCCCAAAAAAACCCGGGAATTTCCCAAAAAAGTCCCGCGACAAAAGGGCCAAAAGGGCCAAAAACGACCAAAATTGGACTTAAAATGACCCAAAACGGACCCAAAATGGACCCAAAACTGACCCCAAACTCACCTTGGACTCATCTGAGTTTCCTGCTTCCAGGATTGATCCCGGAATTCCGGGAATTCCCAAAAAAATCTGGGAATTCCCAAAAAAATCCCGTGATTTAAGGACCAAAAATGGCCAAAAATGACCAAAATTGGACTTAAAATGATCCAAAATGGACCCAAAATGGACCCAAAACTGACCCCAAACTCAGCTGGGACTCATCTGAGTTTCCTGCTTCCAGGATTGATCCCAGAATTCCGGGAATTCCCAAAAAAATCCAGGAATTCCCAAAAAATTCCACTTCAAAAGGGCCAAAACTGCCCAAAAATCGACCTTAAAATGACCCCCCAAAAATTCCCGGAATTCCCAAAAAATCCCCTTTTATCCCCCCTTTTATCCCCATTTTCCCTTCCCTTTTATCCCCATTTTTCCCATTTTTACCCCCTTATCCCAAATTTTCCCATTTTTTCCCAATTTTTCCCAAATTTTCCCAATTTTTCCCAATTTTTCCCATTTTTCCCATTTTTTCCCCATTTTTTTCCCATTTTCTCCCCCCTTTTTTCTCCATTTCCCTCCCTTTTATCCCCATTTTTCCTCCCCTTCTCCCCCCTTTCCCCCCATTTTTCCCTTTTTTTTCCCCATTTTCCCTTCATTTTCCTCCATTTTTCCTCCTTTTTCCCATTTTTCCCATTTTTTCCCCATTTTTTTCCCATTTTCTCCCTATTTTTCCTCCTTTCCTTCCCACATTTTCCCCTTTTTCCCTCCTTTTTCCCCCCCTTTTCCCTTCATTTTCCCCATTTTTTCACCATTTTTTGTCATTTTTTCACCAGTTGTCTTCCATATTTTTTATTATTTTCCCATTTTTTTCCCAATTTTTCCCCATTTTCTCCCCATTTTTTCTCCTTTTCTTCCCACATTCTCCCCCATTTTTCCCCCATTTTTCCCCCATTTTTCCCCCATTTTTTCACCGTTTTTCCCCATTTTTTCACCGTTTTTTTTTATTTTTTCCCCTTTTTTCGTCATTCTTCCCAATTTCCATGTTTTCCCCCCATTTCAGTGCTGCTGACGTGGGTGAACTGCCCCAGTGTCCCTTTTACCCCCCTTTGCCCTTCATTTCCCCCTTTTTTTCCCCATTTTCCTCCCGTTTTTCCCCATTTTTTCACTAGCTTTTTCACCGTTTTTCCATTTTTCCTAATTTTTCC